CGTTGTACAAATTAAGGAAATATACTATAATGTTTTAATATATTTAAGTTGCCGATCGAATATACTGTTCTTGTGCAGATTCCAACACTATCTCTATGCCACTTGGAATAGTGCAGGTTAAGTTTGCAAGATTTATGTCTTAAATAGGATAAATTGATCTTTCTAACCACGACCAATATCTTCAATAAATTTACTTTCATCAATGACATAAATCCACAACTTCCATAACCCCACAGTTAAGTTAATCTGAAAAATAACAGAATTGAACTGAAGATACTCTACTCCAACAAGTCCATAGTAATTACCTAGCATCACGAAACCCAGTCAACGCTAAATAAAGGGTTCTCGTATAGTGTTGCAGAAAGTGTGAGGACATCAACTGAAGTTTTAAATGAAGCAATCTTCGTCCTTCTGTTTGCACCAAACACTCTGTAAAGCAAAGAAACATCGCACAATGTAAGTCAAGGATCCTTCCACTAGTCAGGGAGAATGGCACAGAACTAGAGTGTTCAATTTCCATTCCCCAACACTTTTTTCTTTTTTTGGCACTTACACAAAGGTGGGAAAGACTCATTATAAAATTAAAGATGAAAGTGTTTTCAAATTTTCATGTTGATTCTGAAATGATTACAATATGCTCCTAAGTTTTCTGACTTCATATTGCATAATAATTATCACACATAGGAGACAGGAGACAAGTAGGAGAGAACACACCTCTTAGAAGATAGTCTTGTGTAAATTTACTCATAAGATATTAAGTTGGTAAAAACTGATAACCGTGCTAATAACAGCAACATATGATAACTCATTAAAGCATTTGGCAACTATAAAGTTGAAAAGAAAAGCTCAGTTTGCACTCTGATCCCATTCTTCATCTACTACCCCTCCAAACCTAGCCCCACCCAAGGGTTTTCTCCATGTAACATCATATCTCATCAATAAAGAACAGCACCTTATAAGCTCAATTAGATATAACGGGGAGGGGGAAAAAGAAGGACTAATCGTAAGTAGTTGGATGATGAGATTGACACATGACGCTCTCTCAGAAAATGGTAGAACACAATGCACAGGACCTTGAGGTGGATGAGGAGAGAGTGGAGGCACCCGAGAGAGAGAGGAGAGAGAGAGAGAGTTGAAAGATCTTTGGCTCGTCAAAGGGAGCAAAGGTGATTGGCTCTCTCCCTCTCAGGCCAATTAAGGTGGAGCCACCCAAGAGGGGCTAGCCAGCCATCAACTCTTAGCCTCCAAGCCATGTATCTTCTAAATGAATCTTGAGGTGGAGTTCTCAGCCCTGCGCCAGCTTAGCCTAGGCATCCTTAGCCATGTAGGAAATTTCAGTATCACCACAGTCGTGTGGGTGGACAGTTCTAGTTCAGTGTAGGAGATGACAGCCAAGTAATGTGGAGGAAGTGTTGCTCGGTTGGAGAATGACCTACACTCAAGGCAAAGGAGGGTATGCCAATGGTGGGGAACCACTCAACCCAACTGAGGAAGTACCCAAGGAATGCCTCACCAAGTTATTCTAAGCATCATTACCAAGTGCCATAGCCCCAACAAGAGTCTTAGCTTCCCTAGCCTATTATATTTGGGAAGAGTGGACAGGCGTCAGCCCGCTCATGATTTTACGGCTTGAAAAAATTTATGCTCATAGGGCCTAGGCTGTGCAATTTTTAGGTCCGTTTTACAATTGTGGGCATGCTTAGGAATAAGACTTGAAGCTCAGTCCACAAATTATACATATATATATAAAGCATCGTGCAAGGCACGGTCAAATGCCTTAAAATGCAACAAGTTTGTAGAAAATGTAAATTAATTAAAATTAATTTAAGTTGATTACTTGTGTACCCTTCATTTATGAGATACATAGCGACTTAACTTTTATAAACTTTAGGCACTAAAATTAAAGTGAAGCATTTTTATATATTT